CCATTGTTATATCTATACCACCAACGATTTCCTGACCCTGTGGTTTCCGAAAAATCAAGGATACGTTCGAAGTCATCCATCATGTTAAAACGTGCAAGTTCAAGGGAATCAGGATGTCCATTCAGTTAGTTTGTCTGTCAATCCGGGTTATTGTGGCAGTAAACATCTTTTATCGAAGGGGATCTACACTTTCTGGCCAATTGACTGACTTTACATTACATGAGTGATTTGCAGGTACGAAGACGATTATATTAGTTCACGGATAAAATATTATTCATCATTCTGTTTCTATTTATCAAGCATGAACGACTTAGTTCAATTTGTATTGTAACGATTTCCAACACGGACTTGTTTAAAGCACTGTTCCTTGTAACGTGTGTTCGAGTGGATAAACTTGACACTGCTAACAGAGACGATTACCTGATGATTAAGTATTTAACAGTGAGTATACAAAAATTGTAGATAGACTGAGGTCAAGAGGTCAGGGTAAAATACTTTACAGACACCCGGCAAAGGAAGAAGCCCCAATGATCGGCCATGACATGCACGGCTATGACAAATGAACTGAATGGTGAGCGGTACACAAGTTTCACCAAACTTTATCTATGCGATGAAAATCTTTGTGATAACCAACACGAAGTACTGGACAGCTGTTTCGTCCTGTTTGGGATTCGTCAGCAGTGGGTACTTTTGTGTCCCTGTCAGAACTCCAACCGCGATTCTTCGGGCTGGGACTTCAAATCCTTATCCTTGAGTTACACGATCGACGATCATCATCTTGTGCGAATGGTTCAAACAATTTAGATTGTGAATGTTTGAATTAGTTCATCCGGTTTTTTTCACAGGCACCAGGCACTGTTGATGATGTTCCATCGCACTTAAATGCATACAAACAGTAGGCAATTAACTATCTCCCAAGGAGAGAAACCAGCAATCAACATTTGTCTATGAATTTGTAATTCTACCCGGGGGAAACAATATACACTGTACTTTACTGTTAGTTCTCATGAAATTTTCATTCAGACATTCTCACAACCAAAACGTAATTGAACACTCTTTCACTCCCAAGTGATACTGCTTTGTTTCGGATAGTTGTCTCAACTTGACTGAAATTTTAATCTTAAACTTCAGATCACCTCATTTTCTCACCCGACTATTCATCTGCGACTGGATTTTGTCGGTTCGAACACGCACAAGTCGCAGTGATTGAGTTGTTTTTGATACTTTCAAAAAGAAATGTTCACCGAAGTCATTTTGCCCCTCAGATAGGTCTTCTTCTAATTTTGCGCACAACTTATTGAAAAAAGCACTTATTTGTTCTCGGGGCGTTCTACTAAATAAGGAATGAGCATTAGTCAAGGCCATAGAAAGCCGCATGTGCATTATGAATGAACGAATACTCGTTGCACTATTCTTTGATGACTATCCGTGCGTGCTATGGTGTAAGACGTTTCTATGTGTGGTGAAGTGAAGTAGAGGCAGACTCGAATCCTGCAGTGCAATTGCTTGTTTTGACTTGGCTAGTGTTCTTCTGACTAGTCTGTCCTATGGTTTTTCCGTATCATCATCATCATCATCATCATCATTATCATCATCATCATCATCATCATCATCATCATCACGAATCAACGAAGATTTTCTCCACTCCTTTTATCAGTTCCATAAATGTCTCGCAATTTCGGCCTCTCGCTTTATTTGATCTTCTTCTAGTTTTACATCCTTTGGTGTTTGGGCTGCTTTTGCGGTTGTCAGTGGTGATCAAACAGTATGCCCTACTCAATTCAGATACGGCATTCTCTCGGCATCAACAGAGTGGATTGTCTTGCAGTTTTGATATTTTACTGTTCAATCATATTGACATGAATAATTTTAACGAGAGATGCTCGACGTACAGAGTGGTGTTATGTTTTCTCAGGTGGTCGATCGATTGCGACAGGGATCGGATATAGCAGTGATTCGACTCGGAATTTAACTAGTTCGGAATGCGTGTATTCTGCCCTCTAGTATCGTCTGTCACGCCGATCAGCCGAGTGCATAAGTCGAAAGAGCTGCGAGTCCGAAATCAAGCAGATTATTTATTTATTTTAAATGAAATTTCTCGCGGATACTTTTGTGTGCATAATACATTGACTCGGGGGAAATGCTTGAGGAAATCAAAATCAGAATTGAAGATGAATGCACAACGCAGTCGCAAGTTGGGCAGGAGAAGTTTAGGGAACACATTGTATACTGAATTAATTTTGGGGAGGAAAGCGTCCTTGGCAATATTTTGATGATGGACAACAAGGTTGTGGCAGTTGTACACCAATCTAAGGTGACAGGTATCTGTTTTCAGAATGTAAGAGGAATCAACACACGATTGCTGAACTGTTGAACACGATGAATCTGGGCAAGTAACACTTCTTTTTTTGGAATGGAAGCCATAAATAACAGGGGCGAGTAATGAATTGCTATCTGAGCAGTATACTTGATGGCAACGGAGATAAGAGCAACGGGGAAATTCCGAAAGCATTAAAGTCATAGAATAGGGATAAAACAGAACGCTAAAATAACAGATCGACATTGACAGGAGGGGATCGGCTTCGAAAAGTGCGTCACATTAACTTGTACACTGGATTTATTAAACCGAAAAAAGATAGAATATTAGATCACGAGTCGAATTCCGGACAGGCCGGTAAGATTATACTCTCTAACCTAGGTGAAACTTTAATCTTTGGTATGTTTTTCAAATTTTGTTCTCACCAATTGAACTGGTAATTGTGTGTAAAGATGATATCTGAGGGTTTCTTGGGCATTTCTGAGCGAAGAATGTTTATCACTGTACCCGTACCGTATCTGTGACTTTTCTCTCTCTCACTAGCTGATGTTCGACCGATGAGAGACAGAGAGTCAACATGTTATAGTTTAGATTTCATCTAAATTCTGCCTAATTCGGTCAATAGTGAAGTGTGAAAATATCAGAGCTGTTTGTGTGGCCTTCTGGCTCACTTAACTGGTTGATCACACGTGGTGCACAAAACTGTTAGGAGCGTTTCAGCATCGATTCGAATCCAGCTGAAGCAATTTACAATTTAAATGGAGACGAGTGTCATCGGTTTATCCACACAAAGTGAAAATGTTACTTATCGTTTATCATTTCCTTCGGACCCTTTCTTGAAGACAGAAATGCGGACACTTGCCAGGATTATGTTCGAATCGTTCTTACAGTTCTGTAACATCCACCACTTTAAATTCTAATCGTTATCACCTCTATCTCTCTTTTACGTTGTTGAAAGGTACGTTGTTTAGATACGCAGGCATTCATAACTGAATTCTCACACCCGAGTTTGTTCCGCAATCAAACTGAATAACTCGCCTGCTAAGTCTGGTTTTCAACAAATGTTTGCTCTGTTTGTGCTACTGGGGTTAAGCGGTAAAGTTTACTCACGGATCATATCAAGGTGATTGTGTGTTCGAAACCCACCACCGGCGCCTCCGTTCATCATTCCATTGGCGACATGTGGCAGGCGTTTGATTGTCCGCTTTCCCTCTCTTGAAAGTTGTTTGCAAACTTATGAATCGCGTAGAAGAAGGCGCGAACAGCAAAGTTGATCGCATTAATTAAGTTTAATTTACTTCAGTCCAATGAATGAAAAACAATGATTCATTCATTCACTCAGACAGGAGATAGTCAATTGGATTTGCTGACAAAAGTCTTTGAGGTGAACCGAGAGAGCAGTTATGCTGATTGAGTCGATCCGATCATGTGTCAAGGCCGATATAAACATACGGATGAACTCTAAAAGGTAGATAAGTAGAGTAGTCTAAAGCTTGAATATGCAATGAGAAAACCGATCTGATCAATAAAGGCGGACACGTAAATCAATACGTCAGGTAACTAACTGACTAACCATTAGGGTTAAAAATGAACAATATCACAGTAACAGGATCGATGGTCACACTACGCCTACCCATATCCTTGAGGAGAATAAATAACTCCAAAAAATGCATCAGGCTTCTCGCAAAGTGTGCAAATACCGGGCAGCTTTGGCACCTGTGCGCGTATTGTTGCACTTCGCAATTTTATAATGCACATAATGAAAAACATTGTTGTAGTTCCGAGTTAACAGTTCCAACGTATTACAGAGAACTGGTGGTTTTCAAGAGACATTAGACTGCATACTTCCCATCAGCAGCTGATCATCTAATTCGGACGATGATGCAAATTAAACGGCTTCATGAAAATAACATTTATTTCTCATCTATGATACGCATCTGTCCGTGTACTCAGGGAAGCTGTCCATAGATCATAATTTCTAAATGCCAAACAACTTTGTCTTCCCTGATAGTGAGCAATATTCGCTTGTATGTCGCGCCTGGCGCCATGAAAAACCGTTTCGCTGAATGAGTAAGACGAATAAATGTCCACTGAAAGATCTTGCTGTCGGCGATTACCGAAAAAAGAAACATTGCTGAAAACGTTCACAAAAGGAACAGACTCATTAACCATATATATATATATATATATATAACTTGCTAGCTTTCAAGTCAGGGCAAGTACACGGTAGATCGACATGTCAGTCAAGAATGCTATATTTGATCTCTCTGTCAATATATGTTTTGAAATGTTCTTTACTGATGTAATTTTTCAGTGCTGATCAATCATTCGTCTTATAATGGTTTAAAACTCTTTTCCATTCTGAAGCTTTCAATTAGTACGGATTACGGGATCGTTTTGACCAGCTTCGGGTTGTGGAACGACACCCTGCCGGGGAAGGAGTTAAATTTTGAATCTTAGTTGAGGCTGAATCCAGAGATTAAATGTTTTGTAGAAAATGTGACCTCACGTACCAATTACCGAATCGGAACGGAATTGTTTAGGAATTAGGAATTTAGTACTGTGCACACTTTCATCTCACATCCGTTGATGTTATACAATTCTCCGCTTGGAGAGTTCGCAATAATTGTCCTAATATCCGATCGGAAATTACTTGTAATTGAGTCACAACACTCCATTGAAAATGTGGATGGAGAACTCAGGTGGACCAGTAAACAGTCAATTATGCAATCGTCTAACAAATCGGAACATTTCCAGTGGTTTTCAGCCACGCTGGATGGGGTGGGAGAACGGAGATCAGTTATGCAAGGGTTTAGATAACGGTGAGATGATGGATGTCGTCGAAACCTGTTATGTGTATACATGCGAGTGTATGTACCCGTCTAGCAATGGGAAAATTCTACTTTGGGAATTCTGTGTGAAACAGGTGCAAACGAAATATTGTATCATGACAAAGTGATCAGATTGTGAGCTGCTGTAAAATCTGCCTGTTGTCTTTGCCATCCCACTCCGCATCATAGTCTGTTGTTTTGTCCTCATACGTTTTAGAACATCGAAATGAATGAGGGAAAAGGTTTTTCTTGAATCTGTGAACAAAACTGTAAAGGAAATAAGCAAGTGATTTGTATTTTATAGATTGATGAAGATGAAATTAGAACAAAAAACAAAACGACGAAATCGAGATAGACAACACCCGCATGAACAACGACTGTGCATTCGATTAAAGCTGCATTATTGCGTTCAGAATGTGCGTCGAACAAATTACGAGTCTAGAGTGAAATTGATGACAAACAAATCAATTTGCTCATAAGTGCCTAACTGTGATGTGTCTGGGGTTAATTTTCATAGGGATTCATAGGGATCGAAGCCCTAATCTGATAAAAATCTCTTCCCCAAGGGATGGGTTTGTGTTTGGGTGGGTGGGTGAGAAAAGCGCACTTCATTAGGCAACGACGTTTAACCATTCGGATTCGTGATGCTGTTCTCACGACTAGGATACCCAATACCCGATGCTACCCGCTGAGAGAAAGACATCCTGGAGTCTCTTTGTATGACTGCTTCTAAAATGTTCGACAGCTGAGTTTTGTAGATGATGATGGAGATGACCTGACCTAGACTCCCGTGGATTCAGCAGCCTATCTATCCTTTCCTTTTAGTTGAATCAACCGCGATATCTGTTCATTTGTCTTCCACATGTTTTTCTACGTAACTCTAGCCAGTGTGTGGACCACGTTACATCTTTTTACTAATTACATATTTTATACATATTACATATATATATTATACACATTATATATTTCATATTTTATTGGTATCCCCTTTAGACCATTTTACTATTCAGCAATTATGTAAAACATTTAGATTATCAATATTAGCCATGGATTCTACTTGCACATGAAACAGTTGTGTCACAATAGGCAATATAGATGGTGCAATTGATCACTTAGTCACACAGGATGCTGAACAGATAAGTCACCTGATCAGGTGCGGTCAGGTTAGGCAACAAAATTTGATAATTATTTCGGAAGCGGTTGCGGTAAAAAGCAAAGAGTGAATACGGGATATGACGGTGGTGAAAGCTAAGGAGAGAAGCATATCATGCAGAGTGATAGAGCAACGTATGCTTTGAGCTAAAATCAACTCAAAACACAGTTTAGAAACTGAGACCGGGGATTGATGACA